CATCGCCTTCTTTCACCAGTGTGTCCAACAGCTGAACGGGTTTGGATCCCCTGAAGCGCTCCTCCCTCAACTTGTAGCACTCGGAGCTGACCTTCTTCACGCGTTCCAGCAGCTCGACCGGAATCCCATGGTTCACCAGCTGCAAGCAGACGATACAGAGCATCAGGAACATAGCACCCACCAGCATAGCCATGAAAGCAGAGGAGAGGAGCGGGGTGAAGTATGGCAAACCTGAAAGAAACCCCATTCCTCGCATCCATTGGCAATCCGGGCCATGGTTTCGGCCCTTTCCTTGCCATCCAACTTGGAGAAATCGATGACCGGAATCGCCATGTCAACTAAGAAATTAATGGACAGAGAGGAGCGAGTATTGGTGCAAGCTTTGGTAGCGTATTACCGCTCGGATGGATGAAGAGAATTAGAGGTTATGGGCCCTATTTATGGTGGGCAAAGCTTCACTCTGCCCATCTTGGAGGGGTCCCAATCCGAGGAAGCAACCAGGAACAGACACACGTATCCCAAGTAGATTTCGTGTGTTCTTCGTGAGAGAATCCAGACGCATAAAAAATGCGTGGTCAACGCAGCAGCCGTCTTACGTGGGACTCTTAACTCACGAACAGCCACCAGCATCGATGGCATATCGGAGGACTTAACGTAGTAAAGTGAGTCACGCTTATCCGATGGCAACAGCCATGGGGGAAATTATATTCTCAAGTTTCACGGTAGATATATAATTAAATTAAGCGAGTGACAACGAAAGAACACCATATAATGATATTAGTTTCTCTTATGAAAACAAAATACTAACCATTCGACGAGCACATTTGGACATCAGAAAACCTCCATCTTCAAAATTAAATTTCCCTAACATTGATATCATTTTTCTTAGAATCCTATAACATCTCTTTAGAGCGAATAAATGATACAAATTTTAACGACATTTAACATACAATTGTCACACAATACCTATATTATCCTTTATCCGCTCATATGCGTACAGGAGAAACATATACTTTTCTTCTCTTTTCTAATGACCAGAAAGAAAAACGTGAATTCCTTTTCTCTGTCGTTGTGACCAGAAAAATAATTCTAAATCTTTTTTTAATGATAAAAAAAAGATAATCACAAACTGCCTTTCTCTTTCTAAACGTATAAATATATATCGTAAACAAAGAAAAAAAATCACTCTAATATATATTTGAAAATTTTTTTCGCTAACTCAAAGATTGTAAGGATTGAGTCAGAAAATATCTTCGGTCTTGTTTTCGTGCAAGTGATACTTCGAGAAGTATAATATTTCAACCTTGGGAGTTATCTTGCATCTAGTTTAAAAAGTATCTTAGATCTACCTTAGATCTATCTCATAGTCATCTTGAAACTATTTTGGATCCACCTAAGAATCATTTTTGAAACACTTCGGATAATTCTACGTTCATAAGTCTAGACCAAGTCAGGCTAACTAGAAAGACAATGATTTTTTTCTCTAACAATAATGATATTATTTTTTTGTGAAAATAAAATATGAACTATTCGACAAGCAAATTTGTGTTTATCAAAATAATATAAAATATAAATCATGATTTATTTTGTAGAATGAGTTAAAAACCAAAAAGCAAAAAAAAATAAATCAAGTATTCTCATTCAACTTTTCTTCTTCTTTCCTCCTTGCATTGATATCATTTTTCTTAGAATCCTATAACATATCTTCGGAACGAATAAATGATAGAAAATTTAACAACATTTAACATGCAATTATTATCACACAAGACCTACACTCTTATACGTATAGAGAATCAAAATAGAAAAATATATCCTTCCTTCTCTTTTCTTATGACAGGAAAGAAAAACGTGAATTCCCTTTATTGTGACAAGAAAAATAATTATAGACCTTTTTTTTAAATAAAAAAGATAATTACAAACTATTTTTCTCTCTTCTAAACATATAAATGTATATCGTAAATAAAGAAAAATATAACTCCAAAAAGATAATCACTCTAACACATATTTAAAAAAAATTCGCTAACTTGAGTATCATAATGATCAAGTTAGAAAATCACTTCAGCCTTAGTCTTCGTACAAGTAATACTTGGAAAAGCATAATATTTTAATCCTGAGAGTTATCCTGGATCTAGTTTTGAAGACATCTCATACCTATCTTGGACCTATATGATAAGAATTAAACGAAGAAGATAGAAAGATAGAAATCGTAAAAGAAACTATGAAATGTATAAGATGTAATTGGCTAATACATTTGATAGTGAGCTCTTGATAGTTATTTATACACACTCAGTATGGAGGTTATACACATTCAGCAGGGAGGATTTTTCTCAACTACTTAGAGATTTCCTCAACTGCCTTGAGGAAATCTTATCTCCCCCGCAAGATTGAGCTTCCATCAAGGATGCCGATCTTGGACCGATGAGATGAAAATGGTTTCCGAGCGAGAGGCTTTGTGAGTGAGTCTGCTAGTTGATCAATTGTATGTACGTGAGAAACATGAAGTTGATGTCTGACAACTTGATCTCGCACGAAGTGGAAGTCGATGGCAATGTATTTCATGCGGGAATAGAACACTGGATTGACACATAAGTAGGTAGCGCCAATATTGTCACAATATATTGTAGGAATAATTGTGGAGTTGACGTTGAGTTCCTTAGCAGATTTGTGACCCAATTAAGTTCAGCAGCGGTAGTGGCGATGACACGGTATTCAGCTTTAGTTGTAGATCGTGCAACCGTCTTTTATTTTTTAGAACTCCAACTGATTGGAGTGGCTCCAAGGAAGACAATGTATCCTGACGTAGATGTTCTATCATCAAAGTTCCCTGCCCAATCAGCATCGGCAAAGGCATGGAGATGGAGTGAAGTATTTTTGCGAAGAAAAATGTCATAATTAAGAGTCCCTTTAAGATACCGCAAAATTCGTTTGACCGCAGACCAATACATAGTAGATGGTTGATGCATGAATTGTGATAATTTATTGACGGCAAATGATATATCTGGACGCGTGAGAGTCAAGTATTGTAAGGAGCCAAGGACTTGTCGATATTGAGTCGAATTTGTAGCAGGACTTCCATCACATAATTTAAGTGATTCACTGGTAGAGAGAGAAGTTGTAACCTCTTTCGCATCCTGCATGTTTGTCTTTGATAATAAATCTTGAATATACTTTCTTTGTGATAGGAATAGACCTGAAGATGTAAATGTTGCTTCCACTCCCAGAAAGTAGCTTAAAGTTCCTAGATCTTTGAGGAAGAAGCGATCGGCCAAGTGCTTTAGAAATGCTTGAGTCTTCAAAGGATCATTTCCTGTGACAATAATATCATCCACATATACTAAAAGATATATTATACTTCCATTCTGCTGGTAAATGAATAACGAGGTATCAGACTTGGAATTAATGAAGCCAATTGAGGTCAAAAACAAGCCAAGCTCGTTATACCAAGCCCTTGGAGCTTGACGAAGTCCATAAATAGCTTTTTGAAGTTTACAGACATGCCTCGGATATTGAGGATGAACGAAACCAGGAGGTTGCTGCATAAAGACATCTTTAGTAAGTGACCCTTGTAAAAAGGCATTGTTAACATCCAATTGTCATATGTGCCAGCCCTTTGAGATGGCCAAACTCAAGATAAGACGGATTATTATGGGTTTAACAACGGGACTAAATGTCTCTGGGAAGTCGACACCAGGTCGTTGATGAAACACTTTGGCGACTAGACGTGCTTTATATTTGGCAACGGATCCGTCTGGGTTCCGCTTAATTTGAAAGACCCATTTACACCCGATGATATTTTGTGTGTGATGAAAGGGTACTAAGGTCCATGTAGAGTTGTGGAGGAGAGCATCATATTCGTCACACATGGCTTTACACCAATGAGAAGATTTTTGGGCTTGAGTGATTGTAGTGGGTTCACTGGCCTCAGTGGAGGAACTTGTTATAGCATGTAAGTCAAGGACTTGACGTGGTTTGAAAATACCACTTTTGGAGCGTGTTGTCATTGGATGTCTAGGGGGAATGGAAGTGGTAGATTGTGTTGGTGGTATAGCCGAAGGCGAGTCATTGTCATGGACCGGGCCAACCGTCGGCACAACAATATCACTAGGTCTAGGAGAAGGTAAAGCCAGTGGCAATATTGCCAAGGGTATTACCTCATTAATAGGGGAAACTTGTGAGGAAGGAAGTGGAGAAATAGAGGGAGTGAGAAGCTGTTGAACAGGAGTAATAGTAGTATGCGGATCTTGAGGGTAAGGACTGGATTGTGTCATTGGAGGTTCGTGTGAAGAGATCGGAGGGATATTCCAGTGATGTATGTTTATCGGAGTAGCTTGCATGGTAGGATTATTTTGAAAAGGAAAGACAGACTCCTCAAAAATAACATGATGTGATATAAAGATTTTTTTAGTTTGGGGTTCATAACATCGAAAAGCATTATGTTCAAGGGAGTAGCTTATAAAAGTGCAAGGCTTAGATCGTGGTGTTAGCTTATGTGACGCATAGGGACGGAGCCATGGATAACATAAACAGTCAAAAACTTTGAGTTTATGAAGGTTTGGAAGCTTGTGGAATAATTTTTCAAATGGTGACTGGTATTGTAAGACTGGAGTGAGCATACGATTAATGAGATAAACTGTAGTTTGAAAGGCTACTGACCAAAAAGGTGGTGGCATGGATGCTTGATGTAGAAGGGAGAGACCAGTTTCAACAATATACCGATGTTTGCGTTCGGCAGAGCCAACCACTTGGGGAGTATGTGGGGGTGACTTGAGGTGTTGTATACCACAAGCAGAGAGACAAGATGTGAGGGCTTGATATTTGCCTCCGCCATCAGAGTAAACCGTTTTAATGGAAGATTGAAAAAAAAATTCGACCAACTTTCGAAAGTTGGTAAATACTATGGAAACATCAGACTTATGGTGAAGAGATATAACCATGTGTACTTAATAAAATAATCTACAAAAATGACATAAAAACGAAACTTGTCAAAAGAAGGAATTGGGGCAAGGCCCCATACATCAGTATAAATGATTTCAAATGGTTTAGGGTTGTCCCAAAAGGCAGTTTATGACTTTTATTGCAAAGACAAGCATCGCAATGACTGACAGTGCTATTGATTTTCAAGGTAGGAAGAGAATAACGAGAAAGTAATTTTTGCTGGATAAAATAGGAGGGATGATTAAGACGACGATGCCATACATCAACCGGAGCTACGACTGAAGAGTGAGCAGTAGGAAGGGTAATTTGTGAAGCGGATGACCACTCATAAATGTTATCTTTGTTCTGGCCCTGGACCAAGGATGCCCCCGTGCTCAAATCCTTGACAAGAAAAAAGTTAGGAAAGAATTCAATTGAGGTATTATTTTATTTGTAACTTGCACCATGCTTCTGCAGCAGTCGTACATGAGGATGAGGCGATCTTGACG